GCTCATTTTCGGCGGCTTCTTCTCCTTGGTCGGCGCCGCCTTCTACCCCATCTACTTCCGGCCCCTAATGAGGCTGGAGGAGTACCGTGAGTGACCTCTAATCCCGCGCGGTGGCCTGGCCCCAGGAACTGCCCCCCTTCAGCCCCCATCCGGTCAGTTCCACGTGGTGCCGTGGAAAAACTGGGCACAGGAGTCAGGCAGAGCTAGGTTCGAATTCTACCGTGTCCGTCATCTTTCTGATCGCGGACCAGAGGCCCACCCTCTCTGGCCCTTAGAGTTCCCATCGGTAAATACCAGTGTCTGCACCGTCAATAATAAAACGGGAGCCCCTTGAGCGCCTCGGAGGTAGCGGTGTATATGAAAGCAGTCTGCACATACTGGGTCGACACTTAAATACTAACTCACACATAGTTAATATGAGCACTTATGCATCAGGTTAGGCTTAAATTGGATCCGTTAATTAGCACAACCTCCCCTTTAGGTAGATGTTAGAACCCATTTTAGAGATGGGGAACTGAGCCTCCAAGATCCCATCACTTTGCCCAAGGTCACACAGCTGGTTAAGGGGCAAGGCAGATATTCCTGTGAGCCACTGTCTCCAGAGCTTCCAACATCATAGTGATCTAGGGGAAGGTAGATGAAGCCCAGATCATCCTGAGCTGAAAGCTGTTTTTATTGCGCTTCATTTCCACTCCCAAAGATGTTTGAGTGGAAATATTTCAAACTGAAACTGTTAACCTGGGTTTTTCAGTTTTTCCTCAAATCGTTTATCAGATTCTGCTGGTTTCTTTCATTTGAAGCCGGTTGCTCATATGACAATGGTGAATATCCTGGGAGTAATTTTCCTCCTTAATCATTCAAGTCCTATCATTTTAAAAGCCAAACTCGCCTTCCTTGAGACCTATACTTCAGCAAGTATTAGCACTTTGATACATCTGAAACCATCTGTCAGAGAGAAAATATTAGGCATTAGAGACTCATTTTGTTCTCCAAGAAACCTGAATCATCTTAAAGATGGAAGAGGGCCAACCCTGCCCCTGGAGGATATTGGCTGAGGCTGAAAGCTTGGTGCTTTGAAGGCAAAAGCTCCATGTAAATGCTCTGTCCATTCTGAAAGCTACGTTTGGTTTCTGGAGGTGGAGCTTTTAAATACACACTTAGATTTCCTTGTATCTTTTCATCAGCCAAGGCAGAAATGGCCTCGGTCCATCCCTCTTTCCAGCCTGTCTGCACTTGCCATGCCATGTGTGGGGGTGAAGGTGAGGCTATGAGGTCTGTTTCCATCATTTTCCTGGCTGATTGTGTTCTAGGCTATTTTACTGTGGCCTCTAGAGCTGAACTTGGAACAAAGGATCTGCTTTGGGCCCTGCTGGAAACTTGTCAGTTCTGAAGTCCTAGCAGTGGTTCTCAGGTAGGAATGGTTTTGTCCCCAGGGGACATTTGGCTGAAACTGGAGATATTTTTGCTTATCACAGGAAGGGGAGAGAAAGGAAGATAACTGCACTACTGGTATCTTCTGGATAGAGGCCAGAATAAACCTTACAGAACAGTCTGCCATGCACAGAATTACCTAGCTTCACATGTTGGTCGAGAACCTCACCCTGATCAGATGACCATGGTGTGGGTCTGTGTCATGTGTCCCCCTATAGTAGCCTCCAAGGGACACTGCAAAATCTTTGGTTGTCTGATTTGCTTGAGACAGAAAAATCAGGCCTTTGGAGTGAATGTTTTCATGAGTGTAACCATAATAGCTGCATTTTAAACTGGAAGGCAGTGTTTGCCTGGCTCACTTTTCTGGTTCCATTTTGATTAATTTAGCCAGTTTATATCTGAGAATCATAACTGATCCTTTAGGCAGGTAAGTAATGCTAAACAGCTCGTATTTATTGAAAGCTGTATCTGGTAGTCTTCCTAGCACTTCAAATACTATATTAAGCATTTAGTATCAATAATACGTCTGTAGCTGCTGAAAAATCATTCCCATTTCATATGTGGGCAAATTGTAGAGAAGTAACTTGCAAACAGTCCCACAGTTGATGAGTCACAGCCTGGGATTTGAGCTGGTGCCTCTAATCCCTAAGCCGTGACATACCACACTGCTCAGCCTGCCCAAGGAAAGGCAATGAGGCAGGTAAAGGTCCTTCCGATATCTTGAGAGGTGAATGACTAAGGTGAGTTGCTTTAATTCTGAGAGCTGCTGTTTCGTCCTCCGCAGCACTGGATTTTATTGGACTGGATTGGCAAGGTTTGGAGTAAATTAAAGGAGGGAGTGGTTGTGGCCACTCCCATGACAGCCTTTTTATGGCATCCCATAAAAATATTGAATAAGTAAGGAGCCACAGGGCAGGGAAGTGAGAGGAGAGATTCAGGCAGTGCACAGATCTAGGGCTGGCTGGGCTGGCCCTCAATGGGGTCCGTGATCAGGTCAGGGAGTCCCACTTTGTGGAAGGAGCTTCACTTCATTTCAACTAGCATTTGTTTGGCTGCTTTGTTTAGAACCTGGAGTTTAGCAGTCACTCTGAACCCGAGTCTATTAGGTGCTGGGTGTCCCTGACCAGGCAAAATGGTCAGAGGTCCTTTCCATTGCGCTCCTGTCCTAACCACATACATCGTCCATACTCTTTTAGCCCTGCCTGTGTTTACCACTCCCCAAATCAGCTGGAACCACCACTATTTATATATAGTCTCTGTTTCTATTCTCTCACATTCTCCTTCCTTGCCTCCTTTTTCCCTTGTCTCCCCCACCTCTTCCCTCACTCCTTTGCAGTACTAGGGATTGAACCCATGGTCTTTGCACTGAGATATGTCCTGGCCCTTTTTATTTTTTATGTTGAGACAGGGTCTTGCTGTGTTGCCCAGGCTGGGTTGCAACTTGAGATCCTCTTGTCTCAGCCTCCCAGAGTGCTGGTATCACCGGTGTACACCACCACACCCAGCTTTTACACACATTCTTACCCATCTTTCTTGCCTCTCACCCTTTTCTAATTCCCTTTTATTCCCCTCCCTGAAATATGTCTGTTAATGTTTCTTTGGTGAGAATTTTTCATTGGAAACCTCTGTTTTGATTTGTTAGGAAATGTATCCCTTTCTCCCCATCTTTGGCTGTGGCTGTTGAAAAGCCTGCTAACCCTCCGTTTATTCTTCGGATTTGACCATCTTGCTTGCATTATTGACATACTCCAGAACATCACTGCTCTTTGAGAAGTGGAGAATTACTGAAGTGTGTTCATCGGGAGTGCAGGGTAATGAGCTTCACTCTGCAAAGGAGGGGATGCTGGCATTGTCCTCTCCCCAGCAGGCCAGGTTCGGGATGGCTGTTTGCCTGGCCTAAGCTAGAGTGGTGGGAGGAACTGCATTTCAGAGCCCAGGTGAATTCTGCAGGGGTTTGATGCTTATGAGCCCCAATGGCAAGGAAGAGAGAGGAGGAGAAGGGCACCCGGCTTCCTGAGTCCCACAGCTGGGGAGATGGGGTGCTTCTCACTACTGGACACATTGGGGTGAGAGGACAGTTCGCATCTGGACAGCTGGAGTTTTGGGTAGGGACTTCCCAGAGGCATTGGGATCAGCAGGCTGGAGCTGTGTGTGCAGGAGTCAGTGTAGTGGTTCTGGGTGCCCAGGCCATGCCCAGAGCTGGGGAGGGCCAGGCAGGCATGTGCAGCTGTAGCTAGACAGAGGGCCCTGAGCTCCAGCAGGGAGGTCTGAAGACTGGACTGCAGGTACAGCCCACGCGACAATGCATCGTGAAAGGATGGTAAGGAGGGTAGGTGAAAATATCCACTGGAGTTAGAAAAAACAAACAAACCGTACAAAATACTGATAATTTTGTTAATGCGTTTCATGGTTTGGACATGGGCAAAAAGCAAGGTATAGCAGATTAAAGAGTAAACAGAAAGCCTGTTATATTGAAGATCTGAAGATGTTGGAGCTGTTGGAGAGAACAGCAAAGCAGTATCTCCAGAGGATAGGGGGTCTAGGGAGCCTATGTTTACTTCCTGAGTAGCTGGGAGAGCCAGGAGAGTCCAAATGACACAGGAGCCTCGGCACAGGGAGAGGAAGACCTTGGGCCCGGGGCAAGGGGCTTCTGCCTGCCTCAGAGTGGATGCAGCTGAAGGTAGGTTTGAAGTTGGCAAGTTGTGGTACTTCAGGTGATGGTGCACAGGAGGTGAGATTGCGAGGAGTTTGGCACCCTCAGGTCCTCCTTGGGCTGCTTCCCGTGTGAACTCCACGTTTGTTCTTCTGCCCTTGTCCTTCAGCTGCCCTTCCTCAGCCTCTCCTGTGGCTCCCCACTCTAACTGATGGTCCTTGGGCTCATTTTCTTGGAAGGGCAGGGCAGAAAGGCCAGTCCCTGACATAAGGATGACGAGGAAAAAGATTTGAGCTGGAGGCTGGCCCTCAGCCTGGGTGTGAGGAATCTGGGGAGGTAGGTCCCAAGGTCTCTGGAGTAAGCCACCAGGCAGCAGAAAAGAGGCAGCTCTTTGGGTAAAGCAGAGGCAGGAGGTCTGTGATTGCTACGCCCGTGGTGGCTGGCCTTGGGTTTCAGGTCCAGGGCTACAGTTTTACGATGCTTCTGGAGGAAGCCTTGGGCACTGCTTTTCGATGGTCATCCCAGTCCCATGGCACAGTGTGGCTTGTGTGAGGGGGCACGGCCAGGAAGCGTACAGACGACTGTAACCGGGACCCTGAGGTGTCTTTGTAGCCTAGAACTGAGGGTAATCCTGAATACACCTTTTTCAAATAACTTGTGATTTGAGGCCATTTGGTCCCCTTCAGCGAGCTGCTTCACGAGGGCTGTGGGGTGTGTGGCTTCTCCTGAACCTCTGGTTCACATGCTGTGGTGGCTGTTAGGTCACCTCTGCTCTGTTTACGTTTGTGTTTTAGTGGTATGTTTTTTTTTCTTCTCAGCCTCTGGTTCACATACCCTGTTAGAACCATTTGGTTCCCTCAGTCACCTGGATCACACTTGCTGTTGTGGCTGTTTGGATCCTGTCTGCCTCTGGTTCACTTTCTTATGGTGTTGTTTCTTCCCAGCCTCTGGCTCATAGCTCCTTCAGTGGCCACTTGGTTTCCCTCAGCTGGCTGAGTCACAGCTGCTGTTGGAACTTTTTGTCAGGCAGCTGGTTCACTTGTGTGTGGTCCTCTTCAGAGGCCCTGGCTTATACCTGTCGCGGTTCTGTGGTTCACACGTGCCACCAGGGCTGCCTTGTTCAGAATTCCCCTATAGGTGAACCAGTAAGTTTCCAGCCAAGAGCAGCAAAAATGGGAGCAGAAATACCTTCCTCTAAAAATTTGTATTTGCTGTCATAAAAAGATACTTTGAAGTAGTGATGGACAGTCACACTGTTGGACTTCCTTATGTGTATGTTTAACAGTCGCTTTTTTTTTTTTTTTTTTTGGTGCTGGGGATCAAACTCAGGACCTTGAACTTTCAAGGCAAGTGGTAGAACCACTGAGCTAAATCTCCAGCCCTAGTCGCTTATTTTTTTATAAGGAAAAATACAAAATGACAGAAAAGAATGATATCATAAATTCTTTTATATCCCTGGATTTTCTATCAACTGGATTTACCAGTTGTTAACATTCGCCACGTTTGCCCTGTCACCCATAGATGAGAGAGACGCATATACACATAAGCAGTTATACTTACACGTGTAAGCTGAAGATGGGGGAGCTTTCATTCCTGAATTTCCCAGGAACAAGGGCATTCTCTTCCTTAATTTTTGGGTGGTATCGGGGATCAAACTTAGGACTTTGCACGTGTGAGGCAGGTGCAGTGGCGCTGGGCTAAGTCCCCAGCCCACCTTTCATATTTATAACACGGTCAGCCAGCCTAGGAAATTTAACGCTAATACAATGCTGTGTACAGTCTGTGGACAGTCTGTTCACATTTTGCCGTTTGTCCCAGGAACGTTGAGATGTGAGCTGCTTTTATTTCGGCTATTCACCGGCAGGAGCAGGTGGAGGAGGTGGACTCCCGAGGTCCTGCTTGCACTGGTTTCATCTGCTTGTGTACTTTGGGTTCCTACCTGCTGCTCCTCTGCAAGACGGGAGGGCGCTTAGCCACGCGGCCTCTTTTTGTGGTTGCCATTGTTACAGTAAAAAGTCAGTCCCTGCATTCATTTCCTAATATGGACATTTACTATAAGGATATGTTTGCATTTTCAAAGACTTAAATTATGAAGTCGATTCTTTTACTTCCATACAAGAATCAGTCCTCCTGCATGTATTACCAGCTTTAATAATATACCTTACCTTGGCCCTTTGACTAGAGATAATGACTCTGAATTAAAATCACAAATCAAACCACTGCCTTAGCACCAGGGGGCACAGTCGGGCTTGCTGAGACACTGGAGTAGGGATTGTCTCATCCAGGGTGCCATGGTTGAGTTTTAATCATTTCACCTCCCCGCTAGAAATGTGCTCACGAATGAAGTCGGCAATTAACTTGTGCATTCACACAGTTAACCCCCCGGCTCTGCCACTGCCTTCTCCCTGAGGTTTATGTACATTCTCTGTTTCTCTGGTGATAGCAAAATACTGTGGAAACTTGTCAGCCTGGATATACTTGCTAAATCCTGAGAGATGACTTCTCTTTTCCTTCCAGTATATTCTGCATTCACAAATAAAGTGTCCTTGTGTGGTATCGTGAATTTACATAATACTGCCTTGGCCTGAGTATTTATAAAGCCTTAATGGATTAAAGAACCAGCGAATGTAGATAGGCCAGCTAATACCTCATTTTCACTTGGTAGGAACTGGTTCAAGTTGCCTGTCCAAGCCATGCTGTAGAGGCAGTTGCAGGAGTACAAGGATTATAAAGAGATTATGGTCTATTTGAGACAAATCCCCAGCCTCTCTCCAACCTCATTAGCAATTAGCAAGAAAGTGTGAAGACAGGGATTCCTTTCTTGCCCTGGGTTCTCCGTTGCATCATGAGAGGTCAGAACACAATTAGGTGTTCTGTGCCTGTGCCCCAAGTCAGCTTCCTCCCGTGCCTGGCAGCTTGCCGGGCGCCTTGGCTGTGCAGTGCCTGTCTCAGAGAGCGTGTTCCGTACAGCAGGGTGACTCAGCTTAACACCACACGTCTAGAAATCCTTTCTGATAATTAGTTTTCAAAATTGTCTCTCCCTACTTTCATAATATCAGAGAATAGACCTTTCAGGTGTGGAAGATTGTATTTATTTTGGCTCCTGGCAAGACGGAGAGCGTCTTTTCACCAGTTGCCATTTTCTGAGCGTGTTGGAGACATCCGTACTTTGAGACCTATGTAGCGACAGTGTGTAAGGCTCGCTCCCGCAAGCACTCACCGTCTCCAGAAATGGGAACCCTTTTGTGTTGAACTATTGGGGAAAATGTAGCCCCCGAGAGGCTCCGCACTGTGCCCTTGAGTTGGAAGAAGGCTTTCGGCGTGTAGGGCAGGTGTAGTGTCTGGGTCCAGAGGGTCTTGGTTGCTTTTCACCTGCTTCAATCAGAGGGCTGCAGTGAGACCTCAGGCCACTGGCTAGGATTGGCCTCGTTGATTTATACCCCCCTCAGGATTCCCACAATCTCTATGCCCTGTGTTTTATTTGCCAAGCAAAACTTAACTGTCAAGTGGGCCATTTCGGATTGACTTTCTGTCACATTGCTAGAGAAGCAAGTGCAGTGAATATTAGGGTTAGCAAAACCTTTAGGCTTGTGTAACTTTATGAGAATCCAGAGGCCAAAGTAAGCAGCCTAATATTAAACAAGAGCTAAACGTGGATTTAAAGAAACATTGTCAGTCTGATTACAATATTTAATTACTCTAGGAATAACTATCCTTTGGCTCCAGGTCTTTCTTCTGAAAAGTGCCATTTGTCAGGAGACTTAAAATAATAAGTCTTCGTTGCCACAAGCCTCAGGATTGTTCTCAGCCTCTTAGAAAGATGTGTCAGAGGGCTTGAAGCCCACAGTCATAAAACGCCCAGTTTCCCTTGGCCTGGCCTGCTGGACATCTCCAAAGAGCCTGGTGCAGCCGCTGGCGCTGCAATGTGCTTGCTAATTGGCACGGCACCTGCAGTCAATTAGGGAAGCTTCAATTATCCAAACCAAAGCCACCCACCCAAAGATTAATTTTCTGCTCTATTTCCTATCAAAAACATAGCATCTTTAGCTCTGAGTCTAGTCCTTCAGTGCGGTGCATTTCAGACACATGAACCACATCGTTTCCTTGCTAATTGTGCTTGTTCCTTCATGTCAGCAGCCTTCCGCTCATAATATCATGCCCACCAGTTCTTTCAAAATTGTTGTTTTTCTGTTGTTTTGTTGCCTTTCCAAAATGCTGAGATCACAGGAAAAAGATGTTAGTTGGGAGCTTTTCTTTTGAAGTGTGGTTTTCTTTCTTTTCTTGAATACCCCCAATCTTTTTGCATTACAGGATCTAACTTTCACAAACTAAAAGCTTTGAATAATGGCATTGCTCAATTTAAAACACTCATAAATACTGTTTCTAACTGTCCCCTGCCACTGGCGCATCTAACTGCAAAGATTTTGCTTTCCTCCATTCTAAAGAGTAATTGTTCTTTTGTTTCTCAGAGAAGGAACAAGCCATCAATCGGGCTGGGATTGTCCAAGAAGATGTGCAGCCACCAGGTAAACTTAAAGAAAATCAAAACTGAACCTGGTTTGTACGGTTGTGTGATTTGTATGTGTGATTTGCTGTGGAGAGAGGGACAATGCTTAGAAATGTGCTTTTGCTATGTATTTTGCAGTAGTTGCCATTTTATAGGTACCATCCAAGAGTTCATTTTTGTATTTCAGTACGAAAGTACTCTCAACTAGTACTTTCTGCAAGTTTGCTGGATTCCTCTGTAACACCTGATAAATGGGCATAAAAATGTAACCAGTGTACAGTTAGATATGAAGGGTGAATGGCTGTTTTGCATACTTATTTTTTAAGCACCCACTTAAACAATACCCTCATGGGAAAATAGTATTTACTTGTGAGCTGTTTTAATTGATGTGAGATTCAGCCTTCTACAAAAGCTCAAAAAGCTCTCTTTATGGGTGAATGCGTAGTTCCTTTAAGATGATCCAAGTTGGCCCAGAATAAGAGGTTTCCAGGTTATTAACCCAAACTCTTGGAATCCGTGGCAACATTCTTTTCTATTTATTTATTTTCTAACTAGGCCAGATACATATCTTCCTGCTATGGGCAGTTTCTGAGCCATTAAAAAGTCCCTCAGCTGCCATGGCTTCCTGGCCCGTTCATTCCAGCGTTCCGCAGCCACATGGAAATCAAACAACTCAATTCCAGTGTCATTTTGTTTGGGGTTGGGGGGAGTTAGGGAATTTCAAAATGAACCCTGTTTTATTCATGTTTCTTTCCATAGGGTTAAAAGTGTGGTCCGATCCGTTTGGCAGGAAATGAGAAGGCTGTCACCATCTCTGATTACTCAAGTTGACATCTTCATGCTTTCGACTCTGCTTTGAACACAATAAATCACTTCACTAAGGAGGGGTGACTGGAGAAGAAAACCCTGTAATGCCGTCAATAAGAGTAATTGTCATGAAAGACTATGTACCAGGATTAGTATTTCCCCTGGAACACACCACACCATTAGGAAGGCTTGCATGATTTGGTTGACTTTCCAGAAATGAAGCTATCTTGCGGGGCTGTTTGTAGGAGATCTGTTTATTATTCAGTCTTTATCACCTCCCGAGCTGTGATAGGAATACAAGCAACCCGTGGGCTCGAGGAAGTGCAGCCCATTCCACCTTCCAAATAGCAGATTTCAGTGAAGAACCACCATGCTGAGCTGCCTCCTAGGGCTCTTTGAAAATATTCAAGTTGATAAAGCTCTTTGTGGACAAGGTACTTTGTGCTATTTAAGAATAAACAGTTCGGCTGAACCATCTCCTGTTGAAGATTGCTCCATGCTGGAAAATAAATAAATATAAAGCAGGTCAAACCACAGGAGTGCCTGTGCATAGTACACATCAGTGGTGAGTCAACAGAAGTTGAAAATATGTCTATTAAAATGATTTATTTTTATTTTGCCACTGTTTACTTTTTTTGTAAATCTTTTTTTGTTAAAGTAGGTGGATTATAGAAGCAGCAAGTACTATTGGACTAGATTATATTTGACTATTATTTGTGTAGTATACATGTGTGTATAAGTAAACACCTTGAAGGTGAATGGTACATTTGTTGAGACACATATTTTTTGAATGCCGGTTCTCTCCCAGATACCTTACCAGGTGCTACAAAGATGAGTGCGAATTCTTTTTCTTTCCTTCTTTTCTCCATCCCCCTCTCCTCCCTCCTTTCTTTCCTTCTTTCCTTCCTCCTCTGTCCCTTCCTCCCTTCCTTTGTTGTTTTTTTCCTTCCTTTCTCTTCTTTAACTTTCCGATTCTGTCATGTCCTGTCCTATGCTTGACCCAAGCCCCTTACTAGTATATGCTTCTGAAAAGACACTTTTTCCATTTTATGGCAGAGTGTCATGCATATTGCTCTCCTGAGCTGCTTGATGACATAACAGTGATTTTATTGCTAGGCGCTTAGCATTTTCTTAATATACAACTGGCCCAATTATGTAATTACTGTCAAAAAGAAGTAAGATTGATAGTTCTGAAACCAAAGTCATCATTTTTGGTAAGCATTCCCTAACATTTAATTGACTTACAGCTAATCTAGTAGAGGAAGTTGACTAATTAGGGATGCATTTGCTCCACTGTTTGCCTTGGAGGGGGCACCCAGAAGTTATGTAACTTAGAAGCCAGACTTCCACAGATGTTTAACTGAGCTGTCTTTATGAGTGAGGCAAGTGTGTGGCACTGTCTGCTTTGGAAGAGGTCCATGCTAAAGTGACTGCATCTGTGTGTCTGAGTTCCTCGGGGCCTTGCTTGGCTGTCTCTAAGCGAACAGGCACAGCTTGGTCTCCAGGGCGGGGTCTTTGTCCCATCTCCACCTCTTCGCTGTCTTTCCTGTTCATGGCTTTCCTCTTTGTAACGCGGTCACACTCATGTTGTCAGACAGGTAACGTAAGACTGCGGTCTGCTGTTGACAGAGCGGAGTGGTGAGAGATGCTGTCTTAGGGATTGACTGAGGGCCTTGTGGCTCACCTGTGAGTCCCCATGGACCCCTGGGGTAATAATAGAAGCGCTTGAAAGGGGATCTTAGCCAGGAGCTTCAGGGAACAGTTAGAACGTCGGTTAGGTTTATTGACTTCTAATTTGATGACTTTGAAGACAGACACAGCGTTTCCCAAGTGTATGGATCACAGAGCATTTTCCACAGTTGACTCTTTGAGATTGGTGGCATCTTTTGGGGGAGTCTTTTAGGCAGTTGTTCTTGAACTTTTTGGGCTGAAGTCAACTTTATACTCTTGAAAATTTCCAAGAACTCCACCATGATTCTGTTGATGTAGGCTATTCTATTGAGAGATACTAACTGTATTAGAAATGTAAACAAAACTAAAAAATTGTACCATTTAAGAATATCAATAACCCATAGAAGTTAATTGGACATATTTTTATGTGAAAAATTGTCGATAAAAAAATAATTTGCAAACCTCTTTGATGCCTGGCTTAAGACAGCTGAGTTTGCACATCTGGTCTGCATTGGGTCTGTAGTGATATCTCTTCAGAGCTTCTGGAAAACAATCTACATACTCATATAAGTAGTATTGTAAAAAATAGTTTTGACCACACATACCCCAGAAAATGTTCCAGAGACCTGTAGAAATTACTGGACCATACTTTGCCCAGTTTCGACCCCTTTTGGATTTCGCCAGGCCTTTTGATATTTATGTGGCTGGATTACACTAACTCCCTGAAAGTTACTTTTAGTGAGCCATGTTTTAGCACGTCATGTTAAAGGAAGTTTATAAGGGGAGGGGAGGAACTCATGGCATTTCTTACTGTTATTGAAAAAAAATTCTGATTCTTCATTTTCATTGCCAAATGGTGTATTCTTTAGGGAGACCTAGATTGACATTTTAAGATTCCAGAACCAGATACAGCAATTTCGCTAAACAGTTGATACTTTTATCCTGGGAACACTGCACCTTGATTCCCTCTTTGGATCAGCTGACAGGAAGCTCAACAAACACATTTGTGTTCTAGCTTTTTAAAAGTGCCTGTGGCCTTGTGGAACGTTTGTGGGCCTTTGTGTTCATTTCATGTTTCCCCTTCATTTTCCTTCCTGTTTTCTCTTCAGTTTTCTGTCTCCTATGTTAGACCCTTGGTTTCTAAGTGAAGCAGGGCATAACACATAGGCCGGTGAAGAAGCCCTTTAGTGGGGAGAGATGAAACAAATTTGCAAACAAAATTAAAATAACACAGACTATTACTAGACCTTTAAAGAGGTAGCAGACGCTGAGCTCGGACAGATACGGACCCCTGTGCCCCTCCTGTGGGCCATGTCTGCCCTGGCCCTGGCTAAACCTCCCCCTTGGTGCTCCTCCTCCTGCTGGCTTGAAGGACCCTTAGGGATGAATCACTGAGGGAAGGGAACGGTGGGTAGGCGGTGGGTGGGGCTGTGACACCCTTCTGAAATGACAAGCTGCTGGGTTTTCACTCCCTGTAGGAGGAGACATGAAGATATTTAAGCAGAAAGCTCCCAGAAAACTTGAAAAAGCCAGAACACTCTCTGGAGCAGCTCTAATCCTAAGTGGTCAGAGCAGCTGAGGCTGTCTCCTGTCCCCAGTGAGGTCTCTACAGAAACGAAGAACATTTAGAAACTTTCCAGTCTGATAAAAGCCAGGGCTTGCATTTTGCTTATGTCTTGAGATTTCCAGTACAATTATATTTTATTACAGTGGTCTGCCCTACACTGGCAATTAGGAGTAAACGGGGAGTGGGTTTGGGCCTGCAAGGTGGATCTAGGCACTGAGCTGGGCTGTGATGGGAGAGGCTGATCCCCAGCCAGCCATTCTGGGGTGGAGAAGAGCTCTGGATTGCATCAGCAGATGCCCTGGGCAGGGTCCCACAGACAGGACAGGCGCATTCACCCTGCCTCAGGGACTTGGCTCACACCTGCTGAAGGCAGCATGGCCTTATGCGGCTGATGCTGTCTGTTGGTAACGTGTGCGCAGCTCATTAGCATCTCCCGTGTGCTGGGAGGCAGGCTGACACCTGGATAGGCTGCCTCTGCATGTGCTGACTGGGCTCTGCAGGCCAGGGGCCAGGGGCCGGGGTCCTTCGGCCTTCGTCCTTCATCTGTCTCTTTTTCCCGAAGCTGGGAATCTCAGCTGGGATCTCAGTCTCTTCCACTGATTAGGGGAGGTGAGAGCTCACCACTCCCCAGTGGGCCTGGGGACCCTTGATATAGAGACTGCAAAGCGGTCTCTTCTTCCTAGTGTGGCCCTGTTGCCACTAGTAGCTGAAATAAGATTAAAAACAAAAATGCTTGCCTACTATTTTTTTTGGTTGCAAGTGACAGAAAACCAAACCCCAAATGTAAATGAACACTCTGGAGCCACAGTCGTTTTTTATTGGCCCAAACATTTGTAAGTGTAAAAAATAACTGTAACAATATCCGTTAAATGGTCACATATTTTAACTTCCTCACCTGGGATTTTTCTGAGATACATAATTGAAAGTACTTTTTTGGAAAAGCTGTATATACAAAGATGTTCACAGGATTCTCACAGAACTTTGGAAACAATTTGAGAACTCCTAAATTTGTTTGACAGCCATCAGACTCATTTTGTAGTGCTTAAATTTTACTTTTTAAATCTATGTTTTAATGAGTATGCATTCCTTATAATGATGTGTGTACGTAACAGCCATTCTTGTGTGTGTGCTGTACAGTGTTAAAGATCTTGAAACTGCCACCTACTGGCCATTAACTCTACCAGTTAATGGCCATTGACGCAGCCACTTATTAAATGTTTACTGTGTACCTGAAAATCAACAAAGAAGTAAGGGTAAGTATGCCCGGAGACCTCAAAAAAGAGCCCTGCTGGGTGTGCTAGACAGGGTAGCGACGGCGTTTTCCTGTCCTGATGAACATCTGCTGCCCCTTTACCCAACATCTTATCCTCTCTCATGACACCATCTCCTCCCATCCCCATGCCTGCTTTTGCTCCCATTCTGTCTGCTGCGGGTGAGCTGATTTTATCCCATGCTCCAAGAGGAGGTCCGTGTTGGTTCTGGCCACAGAGACTGGATCCAGGATGGCCAGGTATTTGTCTTTTGGTTTGTGTGATAAGCTTACACGAGGGTCGTATCAGGCGGGAAGCTACTGGCAGCCATCTTGACCTCATGAGGACAGAGCCAGTCTGAGACCACACCGGAAGTAGGAGGGATCAGCCGGAGATAGAAGCCAGGTCCTGATGATATCGTTCAAACCTCCTGGATTCACTTGTGTCTGAAGCAGTAATATCTCTGTTTTAGTAAGGTAAAGTCCCTTTTTGTGTCAATTTAGGTTTGGTCCTTGTCACTTGCAATCCGTCTAGTCGATGTGGTATATCAATTTTATATCTTATTTTAATCTTTTTTTCTGAAATGTATTCCATGCATCATTTCCATTTTAAATAAAAGATGTTACATGATTTACCCTGTTCTTATCCCTCAGGCTTAATGTTACTGTACAGTTGTGCCTGGGCGGCTGATAGTGTGGGTCAGTTACCTGTTCCTTCTGTTGGGGGACATGGAGCACCCCTGAGATTTCTGGCTTTTCTGTTTTTTTTTAATCTCTGCTCTGCCTCTCAGCTGTAGGGAGCAGGTTCCAACTTCCTCTGTGATCTGTAGTGAGACCGGAAAGCAGTTAGCCCAGAGGCTGGAATCTGGCAAGAAATGAAAGCAGATGCCTTTAGTGTGGGATTAGAGGCTCTGGTGTGGATAAATCACAGTGGCTTTGTGATGTGTTGGCTGCCCGAAGGCTTTTTGGTATTTGCTTTCTGTTTCTGCATTGTTCTGAATAAATGAGGTTTCCTGATGTTTCTGTTGGTTGAGGTTTTTTTTAATAAGATTTCACACTAAAGAATTCTGCAGTGGGAGCAAAAGAGCCAGAGTTGAAATATCTTATAATTTAGCAAAATTATTTAGTTT